GAGCAAGCAGCAGTGTGCGTTTATTAGTGATACAGAGCAATTCGGTGATCATATTTAAATTACATATATCATAACAGTGTCAGAGAATCCTTCAACAAGCAAAATAGTTGATGTAGAATCGCTTGAAGAAAGATCTTTTGAAAATGAAGATTTTAAAGGTGAATTCACTAATGCTTTCGTATATGCAAATTCTATTTACGAGAATAATGAATTATTATCGAAAAATCCTCCAGCGAAAATATAATATATTTTTACTCCTATTTCCAATTATTATATAAAAATTTTCTCATACACTATATATTTTATAGATAAGATTTACGGTTTTTTTGCAATTTAAATTATTAATAGTATATTTAACAAACACTAATATATTTAAGAAACGCAGTTTTATTACTTATTAATGTTTTCTGTTTCATTTTTATGCTTACAGAATAAAAAAACCATATAGCAGGGATCGAACCTCAGCCGTCAGCTCGGTAGTTCGTTACCTTCGCTGCTGTGCTACGCCGCTTCCTTGAATACCCTTCTTATTAACTCGTATACTTTGTTCGCTCTTTTCTTTAGACCTTTTCTCGAAAACTAAGAGGTATTGCGTCGTATGCTATTACCATGAGTTATTAGTAGTCAAGTACTATTAACTCCGTAAGTTTCGTTCCAAACCGTTTCCCGGTCGATGCGTCCTCCCCTTGTCAGTCCCTACGCACACAGCTTGCTGCGAAGCGTCTATAGACAGCGCTCGGCGTGGAAAACGCCTAACTTTGCGCTGTTGTAATTAAAAAACTACTACGATTTTCACATTGCGATGGCACAGGACTTTTTTGTTCCTCTCACTTAGCTCTATATCCCTACGGAGCCCGTGTGCCAAAGTTTTGAGACAACCTGTATATACAGGGTGTCCCATTTTAAAGGACCCACTCAAATATCTCAGAAACACTGCGTTAAATCGAAAACTGCTTAAGACAAAAGTTGTTTAGCTTGAAGGGGGATTTCGTTTATAGATGGCGCCACTTTCGAGATATTAACTGATTATCAATTTTCTTAAATATAAATCCCAGTTTTTTATTATATCGTCTTTTTCTACTAATTAATTTAAATAACTTTTGTCTGAAACGTTTTTTTATTTGCTTAACATATTTTGAGATATTTAAGGAAAACTTGATAACTTTTCCAACATTTACCTTACGATATCTCACTAACTATTCGTCGAAAGAAAAAATAGTATTAGACTTTTTATTTTATTTACTATCAAGAATATATTACTATAATATTGCCCCAACTTTTATTAACTTATCGACCTTTGGAAATTTCAAAATTTTTAAATTAATAAAAGTTAGGGCACTATTATAGTAGTATATTCTTGATAGTAAATAAATAAAAATAAATAAATAAAGTAAAAAAGTCTAATACTATTTTTTCTTTCGATGAATAGTTAGCGAGATATTGTAAAGTAAATGTTGGAAAAGTTTTCCTTAAATATCTCACAATATATTAAGCAAATAAAAAAATATTTCAGACAAAAGTTGTTCAAATTAATTGGTAGAAAAAGATGATATAATAAAAAATTTAGATTTCCATTTAAGAAAATTGATAAGCAATAAATATCTCGAAAATGGAGCCATCTATAAACAAAATGCTATAGCTGTCCTATGTCCTTCTTCAAGCTAAACAACTTTTGTCTTAAGCATTTTTCGAGTTAACGCAGTGTTTCTGAGATATTTGAATGGGTCCTTTAAAATGGGACACCCTGTATGTCGAAAATATGAAAAATTCATTTTTTTAATTGTGTTTTTTTTGTAAGCCAAATGTTTCTTGCGATTCTAATTCGGACAGTCTAGTTACGATTTATGTTAAAGGCTTATTTGGCGATTTAACAAATTTTTTTAAAATACCAATATAATTTTGACCCCAAAACGCGGACAGATCATTCAGTAGTACTTTGAAATTTTTGTACATCGTCTGCTATATTAAATAATGCATATTTAGAACTTGAGATTCTTCCCCATAGAGAGACGGTAATAAATAAATAAATTTTCTTAATAAGCTTCTCGCGTATTTACAAAGTAATAACGTTATGTGTCGTCTGTTTAAAATACGGCAAACAATAGCAAGAAATGTTTATAATAATTTGTCAAAGGTACATCCTGCAAAACTATTGCACTACAATATAGCAGGAAAAATCTAAATTGTGTTGCTTTCCATCTGGCTATTGTATCAATATCAATTTTTTTATGCTGAAACTCATGTGATATATCTCGACTGATTGAATGCAATATATCTTTAAAATTTGTTTCTGACATTTTTTAACACTTTTCTTCACAAGCCATTTTTCAAGTAAAAATTTCATCACACTCTGATACAGAAGATGCATGCTATCTATAATTACAGAATTAACAATGTCAAATTTTGTTAATTGCAGCAATGCTGATTTAATATTTTTTTTGTGGTGCTCTGGCTGATGTTGCTTCAAAAAAGATTCGTTATTTCGTTTCAAACAATCCATCTCTAGGTAAACTCTTTTCTGTAAACGCTTCTTATCAACAGACACAACTTTCGTAATACATCTTTCGCATGCATAATATGATTGGTGATTTGCAACACTTAAAAAATGCTCTCGCAAGAGCATCTGCAATTATAGCTTTTATTTCAAATGAATATTTTTCACCACGAATTTCTACACCGTTATTTATTAAATTTTTTGTTTCTATTACAAAATCATTCAGATAAATTACGCTGCTTTTAGGTTTGAAATCTCCGCAATAAATAGCGATAACAAAAGATTTGCTTACATAATTCACATGAAAAATTTTTTAAATAATTGGCCACACCTGAATTATTGAGCTATTAAAAATTTGCATCCCGTCTCTGTGAACTAATACCGAAATATTATTTTCATCATACATATTTGGTGAAATTATTTTTTCTAACCCGTTCTTTATCCCTAAGTATACATACGAACTGTCTGTTTCCCGAGTACTTGTCATTATTTATAAAGGTCTATGGTGCGTCGTACTTAATAAAGTTTGCTGTCTTTGGTAACAACACGTTTCCCTCTTTCCTTAATATCACTAACAAATCCGTTACTACGCATAATCTTAGTGTATTTAGATTTTGCAATGTCTACTGTAAGATTTTTTCTTTAATTCCTTTCTTGGGTTTTCAGTCAAAGCTAATTTACTGCTATTCGTATTTGCAAACGTAATTTCATCTATCTCTATTTCATAGTTATTTTCACTCTTATTCGCATCTCGAAATATAACCTCATCTGTCTCTATGTTATTATTCACAGTGTCACTACTTAAATTATTATAAGACTCACGATCATGATTATGATTGTTATCAGCACTAATATTTATCCTTGCATGCTTTTTCCTTAATGTGCTTCGCTGTTCGTTCACGTTTCGTCTTTTCTTTAACTCACGGCATTTTTTTATCCGGTAATAAACAGACATATTCTCCACATATATTTGCGTTATAATGAAATTAAGTGAAAATTTACAACAAATAGACACGGAAAAATGTAATCTGTCTAAACTGCGTTTACTAATGCAATCTGTATGCCCTTTTGTCGCTCTGTTACAACCCTGGATATCCGATGTAGTTGCCTAGCAATGTACAAGTGAGCTTCAATGTCAACGTTGCGTTACGGATTTGTCGCTGGTTGTCAGCGCTGGCTCGGTACAGGTAGCCAGGGGCTGTATTCCGTATACGCTTACCGACAACTATCGGTGTCATTAACAGTACTGCGCAGCTTTTGTATAACGTAGAAAAGCTACGCAACTTTGTTAACGACACCGATAATTGTCGGTAAGCGTGTACGGAATACAGCTCCAGTGCTGAGCTTGTGCTCCATTGCCAGTGCTCCATTGCCAGTGCTCCATTGCCAGTGCTCCATTGCCAGTGCTCCATTGCCAGTGCTCCATTGCCAGCGCTGGGCCATTGCTGGGCCAGAGTCCCGAATAGCCAGATATTTGGCAGCGCTGGCCTAATATTGGCTGCTAGAGCTCCGGCTCACCATCGACTGCCATACATTGGCCTAGCGTCGGTATTCGGTATAACTTCGGAATCTCGAGTAGTCAGATATTTGGCAGCGCTGGCCCAGTACTGGCTATTAGAGCTCCGGCTGCCAGATAAATGCCATAGCTCCGGCAAACGCCAGGCGCGTTGTAATTCCGGCAAACTCTACATGGGTCTTTAATATGTTTGGTAAATGAAATATTTTTCTTTCGTTATTGGTAGTACATCGATGGAGCTCTCGAACGCGGTGGTTACTTCCTTGATAATAAAATGAGCATCATAACCTGATAAGTTATGAAAAACTATCGGAATATAATAGGAATCTTTATAATTTAAATTACAATTGGAATGTGCAGGACCCCTGTATTGTCCGGTTAAATGGCAATGATCGCGTACGCATATATCCCCCACCGCGAATGATTTTTCACATATATGACAGTGCGTTGCGTTATAAAATGCTGCACACTGTTCTTGTGATAAAATTTCCATAGAAGTATTATTATTATTATTATACAAAATAACTTTTATATGATGCGCCAATTGTTTAAATTTCTCGACGAACCACGAAATGCAATTCGGATCGCGACGACATTAATACGCGGATAATGATTTGTCGTAGGAATATCGTACGTAATAAGCTATACTATGTACTTTATGATGCTGATACACATACGACTTTTTTCTTCGTTTGGCGTCTTCTCCAGAATGCATTCCAGGTCGGCGTACACCACGAATGGAATCCGTTCCCTTCTACTGTAGTTGATTACGCTGAGCCACTTGTTGTCCTCCGTCGGTAGGATGATTGCACGGTCATTCAACTTCTTGTAAACTATGGTATGATTCTTCAATTTCTCGTTGGAATGAAAATAATGCAAACAACTGAAACGAAAAAGAAATGGATATTACGAGTTTTTCTTTTATATCATATCTGTTATATTGTATTTATAGAGAATATCTTTACCAATCACATATATATATATCTTGCATTTTTTCTTACTTAGTTGCCAGCTCACAAGACGTGACAAATTCTTAATCTACACAAAATGTCCCACGTTGTAGTCTTATGGATCTTGCACATAACAAATTTACATGCTCTTCCTTCTTACTGGAGAGACGTATCGGAACGATCATATATGCTTCTTCCTGCTTCTTTTTATCTTGAATAGTATATACGTTGATGAATATGTTGTTTAGCTGTTCAAACTTGGTAATTTGTTTAATCGTCATGGGAAATTCAATATCCTGAAGATTGAATATTTTTGTGTAACGTGGGTACGAAGATTCCCGGTCTCCATGTCTTTCAGCTGAATATAATGCCGCGACCATAGACCATGCAAAACATGCGTTGTCATTAGTTCGCACGTTTTCTTTAATTCACCACTGCTTTCTTTAATTTTATTTCGCGCCGCAACTCAATGTTGCATCCCTCATGCAGTGGATTGTACTTGTTCACATTGACTGTGAGATCAAGTATACGCAACAGTGCCCACCCACTATCACGTTCTTGAAATTCTTCCAAAGATGCTAAGGTGGGTTCGATGACGCGTGCTCGTATCACTTTTCCAAATCCAAAGCAGAAAGGAGTTCACACTTTCTCGTGTTAATGCTTTTGAACGCGTGATTGTCATTCGCGATGAACTCGCCATTGAAAACAGTGTTCACCTTAAGATTGTTGTGTCTTTCCATAGCACTTCGCACGTGCTCGAGCACCGTACTCTTCGCATCTTAGAGAAATCGAAGAGGTCCAATATGGTTCGTGTTGATAACCGCGCCGGTTGATATGCGGTTTTCGAATGCCGTATCAATTTCTCTCCATATTAATTCTGCAGCTCTTGATACATGCTCTGCACCCATATGTATGAAGCGTTCTTGTACAGAGATTTTTAATCCCTCGAGTCGCGCAATACGAGCCATTGATTGCGCGGTGCTAATCAACAATCGCGGTCGTTTTGATCAACTTTGTTCTTCCAAACATCTGATACACTTGTCACACTTTTGCACCCACGCGTCGTAAACCTCTCGCGAATTCAGATGAGTGGATTGCTCCAACAATTCTCGTTCGGTTTGAGCGAAGTCTTCCATTTCTTTATTAACTACAGAGGATACTCTGCTCTCTGGAACGCTTTACTTTATATTCTTCCCACTAGAAAAAATATATAGATTCTCAGAGGTATAACTTATTTCAAATACGAAACCTTCGATATGATATCAATATTTTCAAAGATTTCAGGTTTAGACATGTGTAAGCCAGATAGGTCTAATCCAAAATAGCCATATCTTTTCACATGATGCAACACTAAGTTTTTCACAGGATGTGACCTACGATATGATACAAAATTTTTCCATATAGATCCTCAGAAGTATAACTTACCTCAAACACGAAACCTTCGATATGGTATGAACATTTTTCAAAGATTTCAGGTTTGGACATACGTAAGTCAAATATCTGCGCATGTGCTACAAATATTGGTAACTCCGAAGAATAAGAGAAGGGGATGCACTAATATATAGTAACTATAATATCAAGCTTCGGAAAAGTTTTTGTTTTATCAGTTGCTCCGTAAAAACGAGATTCATCGGTTGTGTCTACATAGTAAAGTTTAGAAAAATGTATGCTGTCGGTGCCACAGTGAACGCCAAAGACACAAATTTTTACACATCGATTCAACACACAGACGAGGCTCCATCGCACAAAAAAATATGGGAGAGGTGAGTGTCATAATGTTGTTTCTTTTAATTTAATCGTAGTAATTTTTTCCGAGATTCGGACATGCAAATTTTCTATTATATCTTTTGAGCGTTCCACGACCTCCTGCTACGCGTATCTTAGGACGCCGATACGGTTTAACTACAACTGCATATAAATATTTGGATATCGGGATCTCCCTCTCTCTCTCTCTCTCTCTTTCTCACTCTCTCTCTCTCTCTCCCCGTCTCTCTCAGCGTAGGAGCTGAATCAATTGCAGACATATTCATTGGTGATAATCATGGCAACCAACTGCTATTGCCGATCAAAACTTGGAATGCGTTAATGGGATAACGTATTGACATCCAAAGATTTCTATAGGTCAATTTTTACAAATCATCGTCTTCCCCGATGCGTATAGAAAATTTATCAATCGAATTGTGTAAAATGTATTGGATCTATGCATAATTCCGTAGCGAAATTCCGACAGACGTCGTTCGCAGTTGTTTTTCCGCTCGTACATGTGTCAAACATATGAAGTGTCGTACATTAAGTGAAAACTGAAATTTGTGCCGACATTTTAAAAAAGTATTCGAGATCCGTGACATATACGAAGTTTAATTATTGGGTATGGGAATAAGTTTTCATCGCTTTTTATGTAGACAAAAAACATAGTTTAAATATGAAAATATTAAATGATTTTATTCAAAATATTTTCCACCTGAACCGACAACCTTCGCTCATCTTTCGGGCAATAAACGGATTCCTCGAGTGAAGAATTCTATTTCTTTCGAGGCGATCCAGTCATCGACTCATTTTTGTATGCTATGGGGTAGTATCATATGGTTGTATCATATGGAGTGAAACGCTCTCCAGTAAGTGCCGACTGCATCGACCGGAACAAATGATAATCTGAAGGGGCAATGTCTGGTGAATACGGCGGGTGGGGTAGGACCTCCCATTTCACCATTTCTAGGTATGTCCGGACGGGTTGACCAACATGTGGCCTAGCGTTGTCGTGCTGCAAAATCAGCTTCTCGTGTCTATCGCGCCATTCCGGCCGTTTCTCTTGAATAGCTTGTTTCAAACGCATTAGTTGAAATCGGTAACGTTGAGAATTAATAGTTTCGGACGGTTTCAGCAGCTCATAGTAGACTACACCCCGCATATCCCACCAGATATAGAGCATGACCTTTGACCCGTGAATATTGCGTTTCGGCGTTGATGGACCTGGTTCACCTGGCTTCACTCATGCTAGTTTGCGTTTAGGATTGTCATAGTGTATTCATTTTTCATCGCCAGTGATGATCCGATGCAAAAAACTCTTTCTTTCTTGTCGTTGAAGCAACATTTCGCACGTAACCAAGCGCCTTTCAATGTCCCTTTCCTTCAACTCGTGTGGTACCCAATTTCCTGCCTTCTGAACCATTCCCAGCGCATGTAGGCGTTTTCCAACGGTGGATCGATCAACATCCAATGCTGCAAACAATTCTTCAAGTGTCTGACATGGATCAATATCAAGCAATTTCTCAAGTTCCTCATTTTGGAACTTTTTTGGGGCACCATCGCGAAGAACGCGATGGTGCCCCAAAAGTCGAAAAAGATCATAGTCGAAGCGCGGGGAGGCTGCTCATACGGTCGCAAAGGCTGAATTACACCCGAAGAAGGTCATGCTTTGTATCTGGTGGGATTGGAAAGGAATCGTCTATTATGAGTTGCTGCCACCCAACAAAACGATTGATTCGACCAAGTACTGCTCACAACTGGCCAAATTAAAAACAATCGATCAGAAGCGGCTCGAATTGGCGAACAGAAAGAGCGTTATGTTCCACCAGGACAACGCTAGATCACACGTTTCTCTGATGACCCGGCCTAAGTTATTGCGGCTTGGGTGGGATGTTTTGGTGCACCTACCGTACAGCCCGGACCTTGCACCTTCAGACTATCACTTGTTTCGGGCGCTACAGAACAATTTGAATAATAAAACCTTCAGTTTCCTGAACGTCCTTCAAAACCACTTGGATGACTTCTTTGCCTAAAGACCTCAGGACTTCTATGAAAGAGATAATGAAGCTTATATAGGGATGGCAGAAAGTCATTGAACAGAATGGAACATATTTAGTTGATTAAAATCGGTTTTTTTGCTAAATATTTTGCATTTGAAATTTATTCAATTTTTGCTACAGAATTATGCATAGACCCAATATAATTCAGATTGTGAAATTTACAATATTTAATAATTGTTTATTTTTAAAACCGGATACGATAAATGTGTTACATCCTAGAGGAGGAGCGCAACCTTTTCGTTAGCAGAAAAGGCGAAGCTCGTTCGTACATGCTTGCCAGGGGACCCGTCGGGTCAGGAACCCGACGGGTCCCTTTATTTGGTCACTGTGAAAGTCACCATGAAAGAAGGAGGGCGTACTAGGTGGCGACGGGACGCCGCGCGTTCGGGACCTGCATCTCATTTTTCGTTCCGAGGAGAGAAAAATATCGAGAGCGCGGTAGCCGCTAGACCGGGAATCGAACCCGGGTCTTTCGCTTGCTGGGCGACTGCTCTAGACCACTGAGCTATCTGACGCTCCACGCTCACGACACTCTCCCCTCCCCAGATAACGTTGAGAGATGTCGTTCGGAAGCGACATCTCTAGTGCTATCCCGAGCGCACGGCGACTACAGAGAGAGGCATTGTTACTTGTACCTGATGGTACAAGCTGACAGTCTCTCAAAGTCAAAGGTTGCTATCCTTTTAAGACCTGCTGTCCATGTATGCCGGCCTCCACCGTTGCCCCTCCTTATCCGGTGCAAATAATAGAAATAAGCCCCGGGGTCGACGCCATATTTTGGCTGCCCCCGGGCGCTTGGACAGATGTCACTGACGTACGATGAGCGGTCCGTTTTTCGGTCAAGGACGCGAATCCCTTTACCGAAGATAGGACCATGAGTCAACTGTTGGAAGGTGGGGGAAGATTTTGAAATCAATTGGATGAAAATAGACTATTAACAGATTTATTAAAATTAAAATAATAACAAAATGATATAACGGCGTGGTTTAGCATATGACAACTTACGCGAATGATTGTATGTATATATGTGTGTGTGTGAGAAGTGGAAGAAGAAAGAATGAAAAAGGGAAGGAATATGAATAGAGAGTTAAACAAACTTACTGCTGATTCGAGATGAGTTGACACAAGCAAAAGGGAGAATGGCGCAGCTCTGCGTAGGTGTTCTGGTTCCTAATATTTGGAAATTTGCACCAGCCGAGTATTCCGATTGAGGCACCAAATAATCGTTCACTTGTTAGAACCAGAAAGCCCGCTGTTTTCTCAAAATCTGAGTGCTTGAATGTTTGAATATTGAATATTTGAATAAACTGGAATTCTGAAGATTTGAATCAGAGTCCGAATGCTCAAAATCTGAATGTCTGAGTGAGAGTGCTCGCGGAGGCGTATGTCGCGGTTTTTATACTGATCGGAGGTAGGACCCGCCAGGGTGGGTAGAGAGATAGCCTTTTGGGAAGGGGTGAAGCCCTAAGGAGAGCCCAATGATGTCAAAGATTTAATTAGTAAATTTTTAGTATTGGTCCTGGTTGAGCTTGGTGGGAAAGAGTCTTAGCCATTAGAAGTTAAGAGCGAAGTTAAAAGACATTGTGGGAGGAGACAGTTAGTTCTAGAAGACATGAATATAGATGGAAGAAGGGGTGGAGCGTGGATGTCTCATAGTTTTGGGTGGATAGGTTATGATTAGACACGACAAGTGTGATGGTGGTGGATTCTTGTGGGGTAGAGAGATGTATACAAGTGGCCAGCTGAAAAAGTCAAGATGCCGAAAATCAAGGGCTGAGATCAGATTTTACGACTAAGCTTTGTTGTTAGGCAGCATATGGTTAGATAAGGGAGATGTAGGTTTCAAAGTTTTAGAGCAGAAGCGTTTCGAGTTGCTTTGTTCTACTGGAGATCTGTTAGCGCAGAGTTTCAAATGTTTATAGCTGACGGATACACTTGGCGAACACTACCCAAATATAAACTCTAGATTTTTACAAAAGGACACTGTTTCCTGTTATGAAATTTTTCTGAATTTCTTTTCATTTGGCCTTTCATTTGGCGCGACGGCTGTTCGCCAGATGGGTCTGTTTCCTATTTTATATATATATATACAGGTTGCGTGAAAAGTTCACGGAGCGAAACTGAAATAAAGAATACCAAATTCTAAAAATGATTTTATTCTTCAATATAGTCTCCATTAACTTCAATACACTTGGCCCAATGGCTCTCCAATAATTTTATTCCATCGCGGAAGTGTGTTTCTGGAAGGTCTGCGAAGGCTATGCCTCTTCATTCAACTGCTATAGCTTCTTCATTCGACAAAAAGTGCTTTCCACGGAGGAATTGTTTCAGGTTTCGGAACAGATAGAAGTCGCTGAGTGGCAAATCTGGCGAATACGGTGGATAATCAAGCAATTTGTACTTCAATTCATTGAATTTAGACATTGACAAAACATTTGTGTGAGCAGGTACGTTGTCTTGGTGAAAAATGATTTGTTTGTGCTGCAAAAACCAGGTCTTTTCTCGCGAATTTTTGCGTCCAATTGATCCAAAAGGTTACAATAATATTCAGAGTTAATTGTTTTATCTTTTCCCAGATAGTCAATTAACAAAATCCCTTTAGCATCTCAAAAAACTGATGCCAAAACCTTTTTTGCCGATCTTTCATGCTTCGTTTGCTTTGGAGCTGAACATCCAGCTTCAGTCCACTATAAACGTTCTTGTTTCAATTTAGGATCATGGTGATCCTAAATTGATAGATCCAAGTTTCACCCATAATTATAAAAAGATGCACAAAATCGGTTTTATTCTTTTTAAAACGATCCAAATGACGCTGAGAAATTTGCTTTCGAGCGAGTTTTTATTGAATTGTTAACGTATGCGGCATCACTTTTCCAAACACCTTTTTCATTTGTAATTCTTTATGCAAAATATGCCGTACCCGTTCATCTGAAATGCCTATGGTATGAGCAATTTTA